GCTGGCCCCAGAAAGTCCAGTAATCCAGGAAGGTGTGAATGACCACCCTGAAGGTGAGGCCTCAGCCTGTCCTTTGTCCACTTCCGGGTGACACACTCTCGGAGAGATGTGGATGAACTGGAAAGAGTCCAGAGGAGAGCAACCAAAATGATCCAAGGGTTAGAAATCTGCCCCCTGAGGAAAGGCTGCAAATTGGGCTATTTAGTCTGGAGTAAAGAAGCGTAAGCAGGGAGCTGAGAACAGTCGTCAGATCTGTTAAGGGCTGTTCTACAGAGGACAGGGATCAATTGTTCTCCATCGCCAATGAAGATACCCCAGTTACTGCTTGTCCTAATCTGCAGCAAGGGAGCGTCAGGGTAGATGGTAGGGAAAACGTTCTAATGCTCAGGGTAGCCAAGCTCTGGACCAGGCTTCCAAGAGAACTTGTGTTAGTCTTTGAGAAGAGGCTTTTCCCCCCACACCTGAGTGATGTAAATTATAGCGACAAACGTACTAGTGTAGACGTAGCCTTAGACTTTGAGAAGAGGCTGGAGAGCTGCCTGTCGGGGATGGCTGATGTGTGCTTGGTCCTGTCTCAGCACAGGGGGATGGACTAGCTGACCTCCTGAGGTCCCTTCCAGCGGTACATTGCTATGATAGGGCGGGACACATTTATCTCTCCCTGCTGCATTTATAGCAGTGTAAGACCAGTCCTCTGGCAGACTCTGGCTATGTGACAGGGAAGGGCAGCTACAAGAGAGAACAGGGCGTTGGGACTCCTCCAGTCAATGTCTGAAAATCAGGCCCTAAATTAAGAGGGTTAATTCGTGCAAGTTTGCAAATCCATCATCCCAGCTTCTCGGTTTCTCCCAAACGCTGCCAGCTGCTCAGCAGGGGTGACTGATTTGTCTTTCCGTTGGAGGTGCTGGATTTTCACCTGTACATCCCCAAATGGCTCCGGGTCTGCCTTCCTGTGGCCCCGGACCATAGTGCCAGAGCAGAGAGCAGCAGCTGGTGCCAGGCTGCTATAAAGGGGAGGGGGCTGCTGACTGGGCATTCTCAGGGGGAGGCCCCAGTGCTTTTGAATTCACTCTCTCTTTGTCTGAAGTAGCCAGGATCCAATGACGACAGTTGGCATGGTTTATGTCCCAGCCCACCCCTCGAGGATTTGAAAATGGGGGTGGGGAGAGAGACTGAAATGGGGGGTGTGCGCACGGGCGGGCGGAATATCTTCAGTTGCTACACTTCAGATGTATTTTTAAGTGATGTGACGAGTGCATGGCCCAATGGCCAGGCCCCTTTTATGGTATTCCTGGAAATCACAATAAGCAAAATAGTCACAAATGGCACGTTGCAGAATTAGAGTAGGTGGGCCAAGAATACATCTGCACAGAGAGAAACCAAAAGCCAGTGGGCTTTCCAAGGGTGGGGCTTTGGGTCTTTCATCCCAGCACCCTCAGAGCAGCTGCTGCACTCCCAGCTCTAACCCGGCTGAGATTTCAGGCAGGGGAAATGGATCTCAAAGGCTGACAGGCAAAGGAAAGAAACCCCTCTGCTTCTGGCTTTCAAAATGCCCCTCACCTGAGTGCGTAGCCGAGCTCCTGAGCAGGAGGCATGGCCAAAGCACAGGTGAACCCTGGAGCAGTTGGAGCCATATGGCTTTAGACTCCACTTCCTGGGTTATAAAGGGGGAAGGCCAATTTCATCCCCTCATTCCACGGTGGCCTTGTCTTCACTGATTGACAGCTGGGGACTTCACACATTTGTAAACACTCACACAATGAACAAACTTTTGTAGTACAAAGTTGTGTGGTGTGTCCCCACTAGCCTTCACAACCGTGTTAAGTACCTAATGAACAACAATTAACTCAAGGTACGAAGTCTTCTCAACCCTGAGTGTTCAAAATCGTGATGCCTAAAAGAATCACAAGCTTAGTTTAAAAAAAATGGTGTGATTTTTTTTTTAAATATACCATTTGGGGTTCTTTATATTTGTCTTCTGGTTCCAAGCCTTTAGGGGTCACATTTTCCAGCTTTTCTTTGCAACCACAAGGGCTGGAAACTTTCCTTTTTTAAAAAAACAAAAGCTGATATTCTCACATAAACCCATGACTCCAGGAGCTGGGCTTTAAGAAAAAACACCAAGTAGACTCCTGATTAAATTGTGAGCGTTTGCTACATGGCTGAATACTGGCTATGCCAATTTCTTTCCTTTTTAAAAGCTTTCTTGGGATGCAGGACAAGGGTTCTAAATATGAGTCCCTTTTCAGTCACTTGGATCCATTTTCTTGTGATGTCATAATCCCCCAAGTTCTCCAGTTGCCATAGAGTCTTTCAGGGTAGACATGGACAGGGATTGATTTTCTAACACAAAACACAAACAGGATTTTCTTTTTTTAAAACCAAACACCTCCAGGCACCTTTATCTTGCATAAACAAGCAAAAAAGACATGAGTTTGAGACCACTGGCTTCTCCAGCTTTGCAGGTGGTCATTTGGGCACTGGTCTTAGTGGGAATGGCTCCATCCTGCCGTACGTAATAGGACATATCATAAATCTTTCAAACGGGAACAGGATTTGATGTTGATTGCCTGGGATGTCTGTAAAGTTCACAGCAGCTACTCTCTGTGAATTAGTATGCCTTGATTGTCTGATGCTATGGCGCTCACCTGACCAAAGCCCAAACATGGAGAGTGAAGCCAGCGTCTCCAGAGTTCAGATAGCAGCTGAGGTTGCAGTGTAGGGCTGGTTTTGATGTCTCCCAGCATACCTCTAAAAGCTACAAAAAATGGCAGGTCAGCCCGAAAGTTGGTAGGTTAGGTGTGAGGCCAAATTAGAATTTGTCTGCAAAATGTGAAGTGATTGGGAAAAGGGGTCCCTGACTTTGCAGGCTAAGAATAGCGGGTCTTTTGCGTGTATGTTTGAAAGCCTGGTTCTGCTCCCAAGTTCAATAGTGTAAATCTGGAGTGACTCCATCCACAGCAGTAGCGTTAGTGTGGATGTACACTGATGTAACACAGCAGAATCTGGCCCTATGTATCTTTTTATTCCTTGATAATTATTCGTGCCTTTCAGTGGCAAGTCAGGCCCTTGCTGAGGGCAGTTCGTTTGGGAGGTGTGTGCTGCTCTAGCTGCTGGGAAAGTCTGGCTGCTGGAATTCAGTGGGTCTGCTCAAGCAAAATGGAAGTAAACCTAATCTCCAAGGTGGGGGGAGGAGGTAGTGGGGGTGAGGGACTTTTTGTCCCTCTGCCTCCTAGCTGATGTCTGGCTAAGCCCTAAGTCTCTTGTAAACTGTCTATGCATTTTATACTATATCAAGGATATATCATGGCTGAGTGCTCCCTCAGTGTGTGGTCTGTGGCCTAAAGCTGGATTATCATGAGGGCTGGTCAGACTTTTCATGCCTCCAACCAGCCAAAAAAAAAAAAAAGAGGCCAGGGAAGTATTTTCTTCCGGGGCTGGAACATTTCCCCCCGCCCTTCCCCCGACGCTCTCTCCTAAAATATTTTTTGTAACCACTTCTTCCATTATTGTAGTTTAAAAAGTTTGTTTCCCTGGGCATGGGATAAACCATCCATTCTATGGGCACCTCTTCTGGGACAGAGACGGGCTGCCGTGAAAATACCAGAGCCAGGCAGCGCAACGAGACGCAGGAGAAATAAATATATACAGCTGGCCCAAAGCGCCCCAGCCCTTCCCTCAGAGATCCTGCTGCCTCTTCTTTAGAGGGAACAAAACTCTTAAGGAGCAAAGGTACGAAGGGCGTGTCGGGTTGGGAAGGCTGGAGTTTGCTACTGCTTAAGGGCCGGGTGCCCTCGGAATCCCTGAGATGGGAAAGTGACCCTGTCAAAAGGCCAGGCGGCCAGTTTCTCTAAACAGCTTGAGGACAAATTTCCACTGGCTGGCAGACAGATTCTCCAGGGCGGAGCACCCCATGTGCAGCTGCCCCGTGCCAAGCTTTTTATTTTGCTGCCTAGATGGAAGCTGCGCTCCTTGCAAAGTTTGAACCTAGTTGAGGGCACTGATCACTTTTCAAAGTCTGGCCTATGGTGTGGCAAGTTTATGCTCTCTCAGCAGCTTCCAAAACAAAGGAGTTGCATTGTACAAGTCAAGGGAAGGTGTTTGTAACAGCTGGCACCTTGAACTCCACTTGCTAAGCAGAGCTGGGGTCTGTCTGCCTCTCCCTTCATAAATAAAGATCCATAGTGGGAATTTGGCTGGTGCTCAGATATTACAGTGCCGGGTGCCTTTTAAGAGCCTAAAAAGGTGGATTCTGGGGCTGGTGCAGGAGGCAGAACAGACTATGTGTCACATTCCCCTAGCAGTGTTGTCTCTGCAGGGGTGAAAATGCCTCTGTGGCAGTGTACATGGCTAGCATTCACACCGCTGGCCCATCGGGATTCTGAGCAGCGCCCCAGCACGTGAATGACAAGAGTAATTCGTCACAAAGTAAAGAGGGGCTGAAACAACAAAAGCCAAAATCTGAATTTTGGACACTCCGAAGGCTGGGACCAAGAGTTGGCTGGGTGGCTTCCTAAAGGAAGGGGCCATTTGCACCTTTCATGTTAGGCTGGGACTGTGAATGCCCCATAGTCTGTGAGTAACAGGCCCATCTCCCCCACCTCCTTAAAATAAAATCTGATACTTTGGTTACAAAAGAAACCCTCCCCCCCACCTTTACTGCAGTGGAACATTCTTCCTCAATCAGCCAATCAGAATTTCACCTGCGAGATCAACCCCTGAGCAAGATGAGCATGCTTTGGAACCTTGGGGAATCCTAGCTGCCCATTGGCTGGTGAGGTAATCCCTGGGTTTATAATGAGAGGACTCTTTGCAAAGCCCCATCCAATCTGAGAAGGCAAAGGGATGCTTAATATGGCACGTGTGATGGAGGATGTGTGTGAGCTGTAGGCCCGGCCAGGAGCTTGGAGGGGTTCTTGGCTATCACAGCAAGAAAATGGGAACATCAATGCTACAAGCTTCAGCAAAGTAAATCAATAAAGAGGAGTCCAGACTACGAGTCAAATTCATATTTTTAATACACATCTCACCCAGCAGCAGCCAGGACTGTAAGAACTTACACGGCCAATAGTGACTTTCATTCCATAGGGACATATTACAAACTGATAACACAAATTATACATGCCTTTGGGGTGGGACACAGCATCTGTGTAACAGCACACAGCAATGCTATGTAACCCGTGCTTGTAGGCTGTGGGCCTTTTGTCACCCCTCTAGTGACTAGGCACCATAAAAGACGGAGCCTGCCCTGGCTTCCAGCTGTTGGATTTAGTCTTTGATCTTAAGCATTAACACGGTTTATGAGTTGAAATCCCACCAGTGGCCCAAGTGGGGTTCATTACAACTATACAACCACTTAGAATAGGAAGTGAGGAATAATCCGTATCCTGTGGAAACCACAGGGGTAATTTTAGGAGGCAGAATGCAACCCCCCACGCTGGATTTGACTGTTTACCTTGGTGCTTTCTGCTCAGAGGGGAGATGCACAGCTTGTCTTACTACTGAGAAAGCAGCTGGCCAAGCTTCTTCTTCTTTTTTTTTTTTGGCCATTTACAAAAAAAAATGACCCTCCCCTCTCATCCCATCGACGCTTTCCACACGCTAGTCACTGTTTTTATTTGAGAAACGAAACAAATCTTCAAATGAAACCTCTTGCAAATACGGGCCATTCTTGTGGCTTTCACGGTCATCCAACTTCACATCTTCTGATCACGCCACCTGTCAGTCAGAGAGAGCTGTTTCAGTGATAGGACATCACACACATTTCCCTCCTCCCTGCCTGGCTGGGAGTATGGACTCCCCAAGGGCCTGATTTGCAGACACAGTTGGCACCCACAACTCCAGCATTAATCAGTGCGGGAAAACCTGCCTCACTGAAGTAATGGACATTTTGCTACTGACATCAATGGGGCCAGGATTCTCCCAATGGGAACGGCAGGTGCTCAGCACCTCTGAGAATCCAGCCCTAAAAAGTATGTACTTTTTGGCCAGAATGTTTCAATCAGGCTGTGAAACTTAGACTCTTAAATGCCAAAAAAAAAAAAAAAAAAAAAAAATCCCCAAAGATGCAGATTCAGAGTGACCAAACTGTGTATGAATGTGAGTAGATTTTTCAGTAAAAAAGAAAAGAAGAAGCAGAAATTCAGAAATAGTTTGGCCTTTTTATTTTGGAAAAATGTTTCGTTTCAGAATTTCCCTAAATGTTATTTTAAAAAAATTATAAAAAAAACCTATCATAGAACCCCCTGCAATGAAACGAAACGTTTAGTTAGATATGATGTGATTTTTTTTTTTTTTTTTTACTTTTTTGCTTCACTGAGAAATTTTAAAAAAATTGTTTCAGGTCTCTCCAAAACAGTTTTTTTGCCCCCAATTTTTTGGTTCAGCCATTGAACCAAAACTTCAGTTATTCACTCAGCTCAACTCTTCAATCCATATTTAACCATTTAAAGAGAAGGTGCTGAGTGCCTGCAGATCCCACGGAGCTAGCTGTGCTCAGCACCTATGGAAATCAGACCTCTTTTCCTTGGGGATCTCAAGGCAGGTTTAGGAACCTCACCCTAAGGCCCCAGGTTTGACAATTGTAGCCTTTATTTTGATAATACAATCAAACAAAAGCCTGTTGGAGTCACAGCAAATTCTGCAGCAGTGACCTCTGTCTTGTGATTGTTGACATTTAACCATTTATCTAGCTCAGTGGGGAGCAAGGTCCTGTGGTTAAAGCACTGGACTGCGACTTACGAGACTGTCCATGGCTTTGCCCCAGGCTCCCTGTGTGATACAGACCAGTCACATCAGCCCTCTGGTTCCTCGTCTGTGAAATGGGGATAAGGTTCTTTCCTTTCTCCCACCCTTTGTCTGCTTGGTCTCTGGTGTCTGTAGGAGCTATGGGCCAGAGACTCTCTTTTACTACATGCTTGTGCAGTGACTAGAGTCACAATCTCAGCTGGACTTCTTTGTACCACTGTAACACACACACCAACCAGAGAACTTAGATGTTCAGAAAGCAGCGAGAGAGTCTAAGGAGAGTGATGGGGAGAGGGAAGAAAGCTAACTGGTTATTTTCCACTGCACACATTGTACTGCAGGGAGCAGTCTGGCCCTGACTGTGCATGGTGTGGATGGGATGATCTAACCGAGGTTTTCCCCTCTCTCTGATTTCTACTACTCTCTGATTCACACTTGGGGCTTGCCTGCCTATTCTGCCCTCTTTGCCCACACACAAGAAATAAACCAGTGTATCGGGGAACTTCCATGAAATGTTCTGTCCAGATTATCCCCTGGATCCTGTTTCTTTTTGATTATCGGGAAGTTTGGCAGATCCTTTTGTTCTCCTCCTGTTAACCTTCATCCCCATGACCTAAATTACACAGTAATAACCACAACATCCTCTGCCCCTGCAGAAAGCAGCTAGTGCAATAATAGGTTCCTCCAAGCCATCTGAAGGATAATGAGAGGTTTTATGCTTTACCTTGAACTTGTGGGCCAGTGACGGAAATCTCCCTCTTATTAATTCAACTGATGGGAAATCATCATTTACAAATGCCCTGTTCATCCGACACAGGTGGCCGCCGGTCAGGTGTCAACAGGGAGTGGGAAGAGCCAATGCATTAAAAGGGATTCTGCTGAGAATATATTAACTGCTTGGCTTTCTGAGAAACAGAGCCGTGTAAGGCACTAGAGGAGCGAGACCACTTTGCACATGCAACGTGGCTCGGACATTGCATCAACTCCAGTGGCTGCCTGTGGCTGCAAGCCCTGCAGCATCGAGGACCTGATCTACAGCCTAGTGCACTTCCTATGGGATTTGAATCTGGCCCTTTATTGTTTTCAGAAGGGGTATTACTGGGCTAGCAGATGTCACAGTTGTCTGGCTGGGGTGAGGGGCCACGTGTTTGGGGGACAGGGAGCACCTAAAGGGCCAGCTCTCCCCAGGGAATCTTGGAAGAACCAGAGAACAAATTATAACAGGGGGTCTCAAGTCACGGCTGGGTCAATGCGTAACAGGGAGAGGAAGGGTGACCTTGTGGGTAAAGCACAGGCCTGGGACTCAGGAGACCTGGCTATAGTTCCTGGATCAGTCCCAGACTCCCTGGGTGACCCTGGACAAGTCGCCTAGGGCAAAATTTTGAAAAGCAACTAAAAATTTTGTCCTAATTTTTGGGGGCCCAACTTGAAGGGGCCTCATTTTCAGGAAGCACTGAGCCCCCACCCCATGCTTCCCCTCTCCCAGTTGGGTGCCTAATTCCCATAAGCTGCTCTGGAAATCCTAGCCAAGAGCAGTTCTTTTCCATGGCTTTAAAAAAAGCCCCCTTACTTCGCCCCAGAGAAGCACAGTTGTGGTGGCGTGAGCTGTGCAGCATGAATCTCCGTCGCTAAGTCAGTTGCTTTCCAGGGCTGCCTGACCCCCGGAAGTGGATGGAATCGGTTGGCGGAGCCCTCTGGGACGGTGTCAGGCAAGCGGGATGGCAGAATTTCCTGAAAATTAATGCGTACATCATGTTAGCATCTGGGCGGGATCTGGAAAGAAGCTGGTTCCTTTGTACTTTCTCTCTTGTTCTTAGTTAATAACTCCTTTGTAGAACTTCGATTTCTGCCTGGATTCCCCCCTTGTCCCCAGTAGCATGGAGCGTGACACTCCCCCCTGCCACACCACTGACACTGCCCCCTCCTCTATAAGGCACTCCATTCAGCTGCCCAGGGCGGAGTCCACATTGATTAATTGGCCAATCGGGGTATTTATCTCTTCCAAGATGTGATGTTTGGTGCTCATCTCACACCACGCCTGCTGCGCACGTAGAGCGAGCCCTGTGCTGAAGACCATCACTTTACGGAGATCCCCTTTTCCCCTCAACTTGCACTTGTGCTCTGAGGCTACTTAGCTCATTTACACCCTTGGATCCCTGACTCTAATTGGGTTACATCAGAATTTGGCTTTTGGGCTATTTCGTACTCATCACTGTTGTTCCCTGATCTGCTCCATGCAGGGAATTAACACAGATTTATTCCTTTCTCCAAGAGTGTCTGCACATGTGTGCACACGCATGGCTGCATGTGTGATCACATGTATGCATGTGCACTGCATGGTTGTGTGTGTGTGTGTGCATGATCATGTGTACACATGGGCACTGTGTGTTCATCTGTGTGCACATGCGAGAGCTGCTAAAAGTCCTGAACAAAACTTTTTTTGGTCAAAAATGGCTGTTTTTCAAAACATAAGTATTTTTGCAAAAAAAGTTGACAATTTTTTTTCATTTCTTGCAAGATTTTATACAGAAATTTTTATTGTCAATATTAACACAATGGTTTCCGATAGCCAGGTAATCAAACCTGGTTTTCAGTAAATGAAATGTCTTCAAATCAAGACTGGCCGCCTTTCTGGGAGATCTGCTTTAGTCAAACACAAGTTATTGGGCTCAATGCAGGGATAACAGGGGAGTGTCTCTGACCTGCGCTATACAGGAGTCAGACCAGATGATCTAATGGTACCTTCTGGTCTGAAAATCTATGAATCTATGAAAAGTTTAGATCAACGTTTTAATAAAATATTTCAAAATCAAAATTCAACACCCGCCCCCACAACCCAACCCAACCAATTAAAAAAGGTCCATTTTGAACCTTGCAAATAAAAACAAGTTTGAAATTTCAAAACTTTTCACCAATTATTTAAAAAAATTTCAACCAGCTCTTCTGTGTAAGTGGTTTACCATTATCGCTCTCTGAGTCCTTTGCCTGCCCCATTCTATAATCCACTATACACACACCCTCAAGCAGGCCAGCTTCCTGCAAACCTCCCCGAGCAGTTTGTCTCGTGTCCTTGGACTTCCACAGTCATCTCTCGTCTTACACTGACGTTGTAAACTCGTCATAGCAGGGACCGTTTTTTTGCTCTGTGTTTGTACAGTGGCTAGCACGACAGGGTCCTGGCCTGTGACTGAGGGGTCTAAGCCCTAGGGGAATACAGATAATAAATAAGGGTAATAATGAGAGGTTGAGCTAGCTCCCCTGCCCCTCAGGGCATGTAGCCTTTGACTCAAAGTGGGCAGGACACAAAGGAGGATGATTAGCGGAAATTCTGGTACTTCCATCCTGGGCAACTTTTTGCGATTTCAGGGATTCTTCCTGTCGCGAATGGGGACCAAACGTCAAAATTCTAAACATTGCTGAGAACTGAAAAGCCCAAGAAACCTTTTGACTTGGGTCAGTCGGATCATGTAGTTTATATAATTTCTAGATGTTTCATTTACACTTTGACTGTTGTTATTTTTAATGATTTTTGCCATAATGAGATTACATTTCTAAACAAAAAAGCTCTTTCAACCGGAAACGTGGAACTTTTTGTTTGGAAAACGTCACAGCGAAGGGGTTTGACAATCTCTAAACTTCTTCTTTTTCTCTCTAAAGTTATTCGAGTCAAGAACTTTGTCAGAACCGACCTGTCCCCGTGAGAAGGTTTGATTTTGGCACGTGGATATTTTCCACCCCCCATCAAATCTCATAAAAAAATGCCCAACCATCTCTGGTGATGATTAGTTAATGGACAGGTGGCTAAAGCTCCAGAAGCCGCCAACAGCTGCTCTGCGCGAGGGCTCCCAGTGGAAAGGCTCCGGCCAGCTGAGCGGAGGCCTGGCTGGGTGACTGAATGCAGACTGGAGCTCCCGAGGAGGGTGCTGGCGGAGGCTGGCTCTTCCCACACACATGCCTCAGCATGTGTGGGGGTGGCAGAGAAAGCGCCTTGAGGCATTAGCCCCCCAAGAGCAGCCTGTGGAGCTGGATGGAGGGGACGGGGATGTTGTCATTTCAGGCCGGGATTCAGGAACGTTGAGGCATCTGGAGATGAAGGGAAAAGGGGAGTTAACGCTTCACCTCCTCCATGCCCCTATGTCTCCTTCCTTCCTTCGCTCACCCCCTTCCCCCTCCCTTCAGCAGCTCCCCCGCCATTTCTCCCCCCGCACCCGCACGCAGGAAAAGCTGTGTTGGGGAAACAGCTGGTAATTCCAGTCAGGGACCTGATTTACATACATTTCCATATGGATTAATTTCTCCCCCCCGCCCCCATCTCGGCCGTGGGAATTGGAGTCTGCTAGCAAGGCGGGGTGTGTGTGTGTCCGTCCCTGTGTGCATGGAGAAGGACAAGCGGAGTGGGGGGAGCTGAGATCAATGGCAGGAGCCCTTTGAGGAGGGTGGGCATTTTGGCTGGGTCTGGTGCTTTGCATGAGAAAAGCTGAGAGTGTTTTGCTGGGGACACAGGTGGGCCCCCCGCTTCCAGCCTCCCGCTTTATTAATCTCATGCTCCCAAGGGAATAGATTTGCTGGGCGAACTGTCCTCCTGGGCAGGGATGGGCTCTGAAGTGCCAACCATACCCTGAGCTCTGCTGCCTTTTATCAAAGTGCCACTCAAATCAGTCTCCTCCCTCCGAGACAGGCCCATGCCACACATTTCTGACCCTGCTTCTAGATTTCCATCTCCCTGAAGGTCAGGGGTGCTGTTTGACTCCAGGGTTTTGGTTTGTCCCATTATAAAGATAGAGGGTATTTGGAAAATCTGGGTCTGGTTTTGGACTGGGATTGGAATTGGGATTCCTTCCCTACCGCTGCTTCCTATTCTGGTGCATCAGAAACAGCCCCCACCCCCACTCCCTGCCTGCCATGCATTGCAGTAAAAAGCCGCAATAATAAAAGGGGAGTCTTGGGTCCCCTTGGACAGAGATTATGGTTTTGTAACAAGGCTCCGAAACCTCATGACTACAGAGAGAGTCATGCCTATGGGTTGGAGCCTCAGCTTTACTGTATGGAAACAAACTCAGCACAGGACTCAGTGGGTGCAAAACTGTCTGAACAGACACCAATGAGAAACAACCAACCTTTGCTCTTTTCTGGCACCTCCTGTGCCAGGATCCCTCAAAACACTTCATGGACATGAAGGAATTTAGCCTCACAGGCAGGTCAGTTTTATTATCTCCATTTTACAGATGGGGAAACTGAGGCACAAGGCGGGAAGTGACTTGCCCAAAGTAACATACATTGAGACTAAGACAGAACACAGGCTGGAACTCAGGTGTCCTGGCCCCTGTGCATATTCTTTAACCATTCACACTATTCAGCCCATAGTCTCAAAAAAAGACTAGTGATTTTGAGTTGCCTTAAAGGGGCCAGATGGTCAGAAAGTGCTGGACATGCACCCTTTGAAAATGAGTATGGGGAGGCAGTATGGTCTAGAGGATAGAGCACTAGACTAGGACTCAGGAGACCTGGCTTCTATTCCTGGGTGACCATGAGCAAGTTGCTTCATGGCTCTGTGCCTCAGTTTCCCCATCTATAAATTGGGGATAATGTACATTGACCTCCTTTGTAAAGCATTTTGTGATCTACTGATGAAAAGTATGATATAAGCCCCGGGTATTTAGATTATTATTAGGTTTGAAAACACGGAAGCAGCCAACATTACTGGCCCCTTTGAAAGTTTGGTACTTCCCTTCCTCTCCAGGGTGTGGGGTGCGGAGGATAAAACCTCACCGACTGGGAAGTGCTCAGATACTACAACAATGGGGCCCAGAGACAGAAAGACCCACCCTGTGCTGGCCTCTGCACAGGCGAACCGCGCCCTGTGTGAGTAAAATGGCCACCAGGAGGGAGTTAAGATGGTCACTACGATGGGGAAAAATGGCATGTGGTTCTTTAAACCTGCTTTGGTTTCACCCAGGTGGTTTCAGAGCCTCTCAGTCAGGAGGCAGTGGAGAAGACTGAGTGGGCCCTCCGAGGAGAAGAGGGATGAGGGGAATGCCAGAGGGAGAAGAACCCTTGTTAAAATACCCCAGGGCCCACTGTGCAGAGTGGCCCCTGTTGTTATTTAGGCAGTTTTAGTGACATGCCGCCTGGGCCAGGCAGCTAGCAAAGTGCTGCTGGACTCCAAAGTCACTGGTTGTGCAGACTAACCCTCAAACCATCAACAACATGCGTTACAGGGGATGCTAACTGATGTAAACACATGGACATGCAGTCTAGCCATCAGCATGGGGGCTGGGGGAAGTGAGAGCCTGGACTCCTGGGGTCTAGCCCCAGCTATAGGGGGCAATGGATCTATAGCAAGGAGAGAGGCAAAGTATCAGGGAGCCTGGGCTCTAATTCGCATCTCTGCCACTGGTTCACTCTGTGACCTTGGGGCAGTTGCTTCACCTCTGAATTGAGCAAGGACCTTTTAAAATCTTGCCTTTAGTGACTTGCCCAGTCTGTGGTGGAGACATGAACTGCACCCAGATCCCCCGAGTCCCAGGTCAATGTCCTATGGCAGAACGTTATTGTCACTCCTTTTCCTTGCCCTTATTCTGGGGACCGATTTAATTTCAAATAGCTAGAGTTTATTCCCAGGCCCAAGAGGGTCAGGTAGGTGCTTTCGCTCCCTGCCTGTCCTGGAGGGCTCTGCACCCAGGTCTGTCCGACAGTTTCCTCTCGTTGCTGGCTGGAGGCTGCTTTCCTTTGTCCGTGGGAACACAGGGGTTTAGGCCTCTCTTCTCTATCACTGCCAGACTCTGTGCTCAAGGCCTTTTTGCATGGCTTTTGCTCCCGCAGCCTGAGCGCTCCTCGGGGGGTAAGGACGCAATAGAGCTGTCGTGACTGGGTGACAGCAGAACTGGCCCCGTCTGAGGCCTGCTGTGAGGTGACAAAGTAGCTCAAGGCTTACGAACGAGTGAGCCCAAACCGCCAGCCTGCTGGGAGCAGGTGAGTCTGCAAAGGAACAGTCAAGCCAGTTCCACTCTGACTAGAACAATCAGTGTCAAGCGGTGCATGGTAATGTCCATGCACTGAGCTGATTTGTGCAAGTGTCCGGTGAGGGTGGGGGTGGCAGAGGGAAGATGCACATAAAATTAACTCTTTGCACACACACCCTCCACCTTTGGAAAGATTTCAGGGATGGGGCAGGACCCTGTGATGGAGGAAACTCCAGTGAGAAGAATTAAAAAGCAAAGGCTCAGAGAATCAGACTGAAAAGAGCCCACGGGTCCCTTCTAGCTCAGTCCCACTGGCCGGGAGGTGTTTGCTCCCTCCAGGGCTTTGTCCAGTCTTGTTTGTGTCATGAGATGTTACTTCCATGGCGGGGGAAGAACTGTGCATGCAGACTCGTAGGTAATGGGAAAGGCCTGCTCTTGATGCATTCTTTTCACTAGGCTGGCCCCTGGGACGTGGCATCAGGATATAGGGTCAGGGTTCAGGAAGGACCAGCAAGCACTGAGGGGCCAGGGAAGTGGAGATTTGAACCACCAAACTTTCTTTCACGACCTTAATTCCAGGCTCAGGAAAAGATTTGGGGGTCGGCCTTATTCTCAAGCAAGCTGGTCTGTAACAACAAGTTTGCTCAATGCCAGAGAGGGCTGCACCAGCTCCAAACAGGGAGGGGGATGAGAGGGGGGTGGTTTCTTGGCACAGCTCCCCCCCGAAGAAAATTCATCTTGCATTTCAACTGGGAATTAAATCTCCTTTGGGTGTGTTTCCTTGTGCACTAATGAAGGCCTTTGGGCTGAATTAGGACCCAGGCACCAGCTTGTGCAATGGTCAGTTCTCACGCAGCCTACTCTGGAAAAATCCGGTTGGGGATTTACCGAAAGTCAAGGCCTCAGTACCGACAATATCATAAAGAACCACGACAACAGAGGGACAATTTGGACATTGGAATCATCTGAGCCACAACTGGCTGGGAAGACATTTTGCCTTCTGAGCTGAGGTGACGGGGGGTAGTGGGAGTCCATGGACGAGCTTGGGGCACCACCATGCTAGGCGCTGTTTGAACACATGGTAAGGGGTAGTCTGGTCTCTAAAGATCTTATAATCTACCTAGAAAAAAGGTGGGGGATAGGAAGCCTAGATTCATCAATTTCAGGGTGTGTGTGTGTGATCAGCTAGTCTGACCCACTGTATAACATTGTTATCCCCATTTTATAGATGGGGAACTGAGGCCTAGACAGATGACGTGATTGGCTCACGATCACACAGGGAAGTAGAGGCAGGGCTGGGAACTGAATGTAGATCTCCTGAGCCCCAGCCCAGCTCCTTTGCGATGGGCACATCCAAACGCTTCTTGGTCTTTATTTCATGTTCCTGCCGCGCTTGCTTGAGGGAATTTTCCTTCCTTTTTCTGCAGTGACTCTTCAGGAAGAGTTAACATGGAGACCAACAACTGCTCCATGCCAGTAGTGTGTGTGTATGGTGGGGGAGCTATTTTGTTGGCATCAAGAATGGATTTCCCCCCCCCCCCCACTCATACACATTTGGTGGCGTTCCTAAGCTACAATTCACCACAGTCCAAGCAACATACTGGGCCCCAACCAACAAAACCACAGAGGGTCTCGGCCTGAATACATATTAGGGGGAACGTGAGGGGAGCTTTTTCCCTTAAGCCAATGAAGCTCAAGTGCAGATGAATAACGCCACCAAGCAGAGGTAAGAACCTGATGCCCACTGGGCTACAATCAGGACCTTCACTACTAAATGCTCCATGGCTGCTGAGTAATTTAGTCCAGCTAGGGGGAAGAGCACCTCGTCTTCCAGCACCACTCCTGCCAACTGCCTAGTCCAACCTCACGACGCCTTGGTGTGGCAAGCCAGGGGTGGTTTTGCTTTTCCAGGACAGCCCCCGGGTGGGCTGGGGAGCGTTGGGTCTGCCCAATAACTCTGGAGCTGAAGACCCAGAAAATGCCATGGCTCAGGTCTTTCCTCTGGAAATCTCACAGCCTGATGCTTTAAGACCGGGGAGCTCACAGGGCTTTCTCTTCCCTTTATCTGCTGCACGCTGGATGACTCAGCCTGCTCTCGTCATTTTTCACTCCTCCGACTAG